GGGGGGTATATGGCGGCGGTTCTGTCCGCCCTGGCTGCCAGGCTCTCCCAGTCGGCCGCGGCCAGGTCCTACGGGGTGTTCTGCAAGGGGCTGACCAGGACCCTCCTCATCTTCTTCGACCTGGCCTGGAAGCTCCGCATCAACTTCCCCTACCTCTACATCGTCGCCTCCATGATGCTCAACGTGCGGCTGCAGGTGGGGGGGGGGGCTGGCGGGTTCGGGTCGGGTTGCCTGAGGCGGCGGCTCGTCAGCCGCCGTCGCTTCTCCCCGGGTAACGGCAAAGCGCGGTCGGAGGCGTTGCGTGCCCGGCCCTGGGCTGGGGCGGCGGGGAGGCCGTTGCGCTGCCTTGTGCCACCGAGGAGGCGGTCGGCGGGGCTCCGCGGGGATGCAGGTCCGCTCCGGGGACGTGCCTTTGCCCGGGTCGAGGTGGAAGCGTCCCCTCACGCTGCTCGGTGTGGACGTTAGCGGCGAACGCGCCGCTGTCTCGTCGGGTCCAGCCGCGTTCCTAAGCCGTAGTTAGCCTAAAGACGGCCAATAAATTGCGAATGTGTGCGCTGCGGTGGTACGTTCTTGGCAGCCTGCAAGGAGCTGGTAAAATAACTTCCTTCGCCAGTTTGTTTGGTGGGTTTTTTTAAGTCATGAATAAACGTAGCAGGGAAGATGTAGAGGCAGTTTCAAATAATAATGTCGTTGCGTGAAGATGACAGTTCAGATTTAATTTGCATCTCTCCTGTCTCGAGCCTGTTTTCCACAAAACCTGGAACTCCCTTTGCCCTAAAGACATTGGGAGCTCTCACCCTTCGTAGGGTTAAAGTTTCATTGGTTTTGTGATGAAATGAAAGCTTTGCTTTTAACTGGCAGCAGAAGCAGGCTATGGACTGTCACAGCAAACCTCTGTTCTAGCTAAAGATTGGACACTGTCTTTCTCCTCATAAACGTAGCTGTAATGAAAGTTTTGACATCTGGCTAGTGGCCAAATGCTGAAAGACAAGTCTGGTTGTGGTTTGTGGCTTGTAAAAGGTAAGTTGGAATGGGAAGAGGTCAAAATGTGGTGTCTCATATTTTTATTTTTGGGACTCGTTCTACAGTTCTGAAGTTGGAAATTGAGCCATGCTGCCAGGAGTTGTGCACGTAGCTTAGTAACCTTGGTGGCTAAAAATGCCTTGCCTTTGCTTGTTATCTGCGTTGGTACATAATAGTTCTCTTGTAAAAACATCAGCTTGTCATTTGATTACAATCTAGCTAATACCCTCAAACTATGCTGGTGCAGCCAGTCTGACCAGTTCCCTTTGGGAAGCTGTGCATGGTACATTGTTGATTTCCAGTGTTGTGTGTCTGATTTCAGCATGTGCTTCTGTTCACAGAAAGATTAATATTTGCCTTTCGTTTTAAGCCTCTAATCAGTTACTGTCTGCATTTCTATTGGTTAAGGAAAATGGTACTGTTATGCAGCAGATCTCTCTAGCTGCTCATTTGCTGACTCACTTTGATGCCTGATAGCAAAAGAGAGTTTGTAGCAGATTGAACTGAAACTACAGAAGGAAGTTTATATTTGAGTATACTTCCTACCCCTTTGAATGTGCTCAAGCAGCCTGGAGGCAGACTTGTCTGTTTGGACTGTTAATTTCTGCAGTTGGGTTATTATTTTTCTTTATGGTAAAGATTTATTTTATTTTATTTTTCTATATACTGGGCACCAAGAAACTAGGATATTACTGTAATTACTTCCTGCATTCTTTCTCTTTAGGTCCATATTGAGATCCACTGACTTGTGACTTGGTGTGCTGCTTGCACTGTATGCTGCAACTAGAGTCAATCACACTCTTCTTCAAATTCAGCCTGTCGTGAAACAGCAAAGCTGTGCTCATCTTCTCTAGGACTATGAAGAAAGAAGATTTAAACCAGAAACGAGTATGTGACAGTGGCCCACATCATCACGAGGCAGCAGCTCACCTGACACACATGCATTCCATGTTGAACAATTCTCAAAATCATAGTAGCAGTTTACAAGAATTATTTTATTTTAACACCAGGAATTGTTCTCTCCTTAACACTATACCTCTGCCTTCTATTGGCAATGAAATGCCTCTGAGTTTGAGTGAATCAGCAGAGAGGAACTCAAGTGCAGCTGTTCCTTGGAAGGATTCATTTCATCTGTGTTTTTCTTCTCGGAAAGACAGTCTTGATAGGGTTTCTCACTGCATTAATAGTATTTCAGTAATGGGCTGGTTGGAGAAAGCTTGTAGTTTTGCTGGAGACTTTAGCTCATGCTGTCCGGGAGACAACTTTGTATGTTTTGCACACCTCTGGCTGGGAAGTTTGCAGTATAATAAAAAACTGCAGTTTCTGGAATTAGAAACGAGCAGTAGCAAAGAGAATGAATCGCAGCTTGCATTTCTTAAAGAGTTGGAGCTTGGTGGACTTCCTGATCTCTCTTCTATTCCAGTTGCCTCACTGAATGAATATGCTGTGGGACTCTTAAACAACCAGAAACCAGGTTTTCCTCTTTGTTACTTAAACCTTGTATCTTCAGAGCAAACACTTGGATACAAGCAAATGCTTTCAAATATACAATATGTGACTAATGATTTTCACACCATACAGCTAGTAATTTCTGTGCTAGCTTTTGCACTAGCAGGTCTCTGGTATGCAGTAGTGAAGGTAAAAAAGTACTAAGATTTTAATAATTACTATTTTTAACATTAATAGAAACTTAATTAACTATATAACAGAGACAAGGTTACAGTTCAGGTTTTAGTGAGAAGTAAACAGCTAAAGTAAAAATTATACTTGTGTAATTGCTAGCAAAACTGGCTGTTGGAAGAATAGGGACTTTTTTTGTAAGGAATATCTACATCTGAGCGGACAGAACTTAATCTCAAAACTCTTTGGGACTTCTGCAGGTCTGCTGTAACACTAGGCTAGAACCCAATTTGATTGTTTAGCACAGATCCTTTGTTTTCTTTAGGGTTTGTATTAGTGGAGTGTTCTGGCTACTATTTACAACCATTTCCAATGAAACTGTTTCTTGTAAAATTGAATTCCTACTCTGAATCCAACAGTAACTAATGTATTGGTCCTTAAAACACTTTGAACTGGAAAGCTGTTGGAAGGATGGGCTTCAAGACAGCATAATTCTCAGCAGTGTTTCTTTTCAAGGATGGTACTGCTCTAATTTAAACAATATCTCGTGAGGTTTATTGTGCTACAATAGGCACTATAAACAATTTTCTAAGAGAATGTTTTCTTTCCTTGAAAAGGTGATTGTTATCACTGAAGCATAGTAATAATTTCTGGGCCTGTTGACTTTGGCTTTGGAACAGACTTCTGACAACGCGGTTTGGCAAAGAATGGAGCAAGAATATTGGAATCAATAGAGCTGCTTGTGAATAAGGATTTGCAGGAATAGGCTCCTTGTGGGTACTTAGGTGGAGAAACTCATTGTGCAGTAGGTCAAAGTTTGAACTCAGTGTCCAAAAGTCTCAACAAGAGAGTTGGTGTAGGTGGGCTTAATGTGCTCTAGGGGCTCGCCTAAAGAGGGAGGTATTGATATGGTGAGTTAGGATGCGTTTTCAGCTCACCCTTCACTCTGAGTTAGAAGTGAGGACTTAACGCAGAGTAAAGTCATGCCAGTGATTCACACACCAAGTATCCTTTTTGCTAGCTACCTTACTTCATTTTGGAAAGAGAGTAAGTGATGTTGCATTTAGTTTGAACTGAATTCACCTGGAAGGCCAGCAGAGTTTTCTAATGTGGTGTTTATTTGGGTGTTAGCACACTTGTGTAGAGAAGTCCTTGATTATGAAGACAAGATGCCGGTTGTCAGTGTTACAGGGAGAAATGCTGGAATTTTTTAACCTTGAGTGCTGGAAGTAAGATATACTAATTTTTGTGTTAAATGATATGTTGTGTTTTTATTATCCCCAGTGGTTGGCTATTTCTTCTGGATGTTAGAAGACATAAAAAGCCATTTACTTCAATTTAGAAAATAACTTTTTCCCTGGTGTGTACTTTTTATTAATTGTTTAATTTCTAGAATTTGAACACATGATTACCTGTCACAAAATTACCAAAGGCCTCAAAATAATAATGGATTACATATTGTAAGTAATTATTTTGACAGCAGTAGTTTCCTCTTAGTCAAGCCGTTCATACTATTGCCTCCCATCTCCACTGCTGCAGTTTATCACCCTTGCAGTGGTATTAAACAAGTGTTTGTGGATCAAGATTGCTGAAGAGATGTGGATCTGAAGCCCCAAAACACCAGAAACAAAGACACTTCTCCAGAAGTCAGTGGCTTATTTGAGTTACGGTGTTAAGTTGTTGTCTGCATACAGCTTGACCCAAACAGACACTTGGCAGAGCTGAGGGCAGAGGAATGAAGGTGGGGAGGGGTTGCAGCCTGTTTAAGCTGGCTTGATGGCTAAAGAAAACATTGTGCAACTGCATCCTAATCTCTATAACTAGCTATATAGGTAAAGAAATACTCTTTCCCGGTGTGGTGAGCTTTTTTAAGTTGCACATAAACATGATCCTGCATCCGCAACTGAGTGCTTGAACTTCCTGTATAAAGAAACTATTGACACAGTTGTACCTGTAGTTGTTACTTAAGACCTTGTCCATTCAGCTGAAGGGTTTGGCCTGGAAGATCCCCTACTCTGCTGTACGTCATTTGGGAACCACATATTTGGGGAACCATAGTTACATACAACAGAAACTTGTAGGTGATATTGTTGGATTAATAGGCAAGAGGAGTAGCTAAAAGCATTAATCCAGTTTTTAATGCACCTATTCTTTGTGGTGATTTTAAAGGGGGGGGGAAGGAGGGCAAAATGAAACATGAGAGAAACCACCTGTAAATTAGAATTTAAATGTGTGTACAGTGGGGTGCCAAGGGTTGTCTCTTTATTGATGACAAGCCTATGCAAGAGGGGATCTTGGAATGTTGAATCATGTTATGTATCACAGTCCTGCTAATCCAGTCCTGTTTTAAGCAAAATTTGCTTTGAGTGAGCGGCCTTTAATCACTTATTACAGGATCACTTTAAATACAATACAGCTAAGCAAAATTATGGAATTTTTTTTGTATTATATGTATATTGAACATAAAATATATAAAGAATATGTCTTAAGTGAGTGGATTTAATCCATTTTGAGATAGTAAATGTACCTTGCCTTGGATTTTATTGCTTAAAACCTAAAAGGTAACTTTTGAACTTGAACATTCCTTCTGAAATTCAAATAAAGTATAGTTTGGTATGTTAAAATCTCACGTAATATACTGCACTTTAAGCTTGGGGAGGCCATAAATTGAAAGCACTGTTCTTGCACTAATAGAACTGTTTGACTGGTGGTGGTGACAATGCTCAAATGGCTTTTACTGTGTGTGTGGAAACTAGTGAACCAGAAGGATGGCAATCCTTTGAAACTGTATATAAATCAAACACTGTATGGTTTAGGCCACTGTTCTCTTCCTACAAATGTTTTGATATTAACTCATCTCAAAAGATGGAAAGGTGTCTCAGCTAAACCAGTTTGTATGGAGTTTTGTGGCTTCAATAAGTCAGATGTGGAGAGCTTTTCTGAGTACATGTGCTGTTAGGGCTGAGACTGCCTTGGATGATTATTACAGTACAGAAGAATAACACTTTTAGTAGGGGTAAGGGACCTTTATACTGAACCGGCAGTTGCCTTCTTATTTCCAGTTCCTCTCTCATCTTGCTCTTCTGTTGGTGTTCAAAAGGGGTATTTCTAAGCAAAATGTCAGGGTTCTAAACAACTCGTGCTTTCTAAAATTCCATTGATCGTTGTCCAGCTCCTTCCTGCATAGAAGAGAGTTCTATTTCTGCCATTAGAAAACAAATTAAGTAAGAAAATATTCAGTATTTAGAGAATTGCCTAGTAGTTTCCCATAAATGTACACTTGAGTGGAAATTTACTATATGGTGTACTGCTTTGAAAAAGAAAATATACTTTAAAATGTGTGCGCACAGAGCTCTGCATGTAGATAAGAAGTGTTTTATCACAGTATGATGTTGGAATGCTTATGCAAATGCTTATTTACTTTCTGCCATTACAATGCAAAATGCAGTAGAGATGGTGGTGTACTTCTCGGTGTGATATTAGCTAGTGCAATCTTAGAAATCATGTGTGCATCATTATGTACCATGAGACAGTTTTATCTGTAGACATTTTTTAGCCTTTTGCTTTTTCAGTGTTGGGTTGTTTTTGTTTTGTTTGTTTGGGGTTTGGTGTTTCATTTTTTGGGGGTGTGTTTTTGTTGTTTTTTTTTTTTTTTAGGACTGTGAAGACTGCACTTTCTTAGAAACTTTGCCAAAGTTTGCTTTCTTTCTCCATTTTTCCTCCCTTGCCCCTCCTTATAGGTATACACACACACTTTTAATTCTTGGAAGCAGCAAGCCTGTACGTACTCTCCTCACATATCATCTTATTGTCAAGTTATTCCTTTTGTTTTTATGGCCTGGTCTTACCTATAGTTTCCTTCTCTTTCTTCCCCATCATTTCTCAGTATAGGCATATGCTGATATTCTGTTCCATTTCAGAAACAATCCCCTGTAATTAATTACGCATAACAAATTGACAGAAACTATGTAGAGATGTAAGCATCCATAGTCTGTCATTAGGGTGTTATGGCAAGTGGTATATCTGACAGAGCAGTAGGTAGTCAATGTGACATATTTCTGCTTTTTCCCTTCAAAACAGCTGCTTTGATTAAAATATAATTAATTTGAATTTGTAGTACCTCTGTCAGCTGAGAATTGTAGCTAGAATTTGGGGCTTATCAAACACATTGAGGTCAGAACTTAAACAGTTACACTAGCTTCAATGCTCTTTAGATTTTTAAGTTATTAGTACAACTTTCTGAAAAATTCACATGAATGTACTTGTAATATTTTGAAACTTTTTTCTAAGAGTGCATAGAATAAAATGTGTTCTGACACTTGTTTCTGTGATGCACAGTCAGTAACTGGGGAAAAAAGAACTTTTTAGGATTTTTTTTTTAAATATTTGTGATGAATCCCCTTTCAGTATCTCAGACTACAAAGCCTCTAATCCTCAAGGAAGAGCTGCATTAGATAGAACTTTGAAATAAACAACTTGTTGCCTATGAAAATACTAATATTTATGATCAGCTTGCATACTTAAATACAAGGACGTAGATTATCAATCTGCTGATGGTGTGAAAACAAGAAAAATGTGGAAGTGCTAGAATAATGCTATCCTTTACCACCCTGCACTAAGTAAATCCTATTGGTGTGTACTTTGAAACTAATCCTGTATTGCCTTCCAAAATCTCAATTATCTTAGTCTTTTTGGAATTGGTGATACAAGATTCAGACCAAGTAGATGGTTATTTCACTGTTAATGACAAAATAAATTTAAAAGCTAAAACATTTTAGAAAATGGCCTGTAGGACTTCCAGAAAGAAAATCTGCCTTGAAAAGATCCAGTTTATTTCTGTGATCTCAATATTTTTATATTCTGTTTTGCAAATCTCTTTTCTTCCTTGTTTGTGGAAGATCTGTATAAATGTGACAGCAAAAATGGTTAAACCCCAAACTTGTAGAAGTATCAGTGTTCTTTAATTTTCTATTTGTATTCAGTTTTGCCTATTATCACATATAAAGATTCCTAGAAGTAATTTAAGCTTTTGTTCTTAAAAGTAGGTAAATCTAATGCTTAGTGCCTGATTCATCACTTGAAGTTGCGTGTTCCGTGAACTTTCTTGAAAATGGGTTCTGCTACCTGCTGGTGACTAACACTAATCTTAAATGCTGACACTTAATACTTCCTCTAAACTGTGATGTTATCCACGCAGAACAATTTTAGTCTATGGCCTTGGTCTTTTGGCCCTAATTTTTTTGTTTGTTTTGTTTTTTTTATTGCAATGTGGGAGATGGAGAAGGCTGGCACAAACCATTCTTGTTTGTTCCAGAGAAAGATGTTTACAACTTTGTATGTATTTTAGAAATTTATTGTAACACTTTTTAACTTGTGAGAGGAGTTTCCATAGTAAACTTGAAACCTCTTGTCCTAATGAGGTGAATACAGACTTTTGAATAATACAGAGTGCTATCTAACCTTCCAGAAGCTGTTGGTTGTGATGTTGCTCACTTACACCACAGGAGGGAGTTAAACAGCAGTCTTTTAAATATTTTCAGTTACGGCATCATTTTTTCTTAGTACAGTGCATTTCATTTTCTAAATATGGTGACTTTGACTTGTCTTATGGATTGTCACTGCAAATAGGTTAATGTACAAAATCAATACACAGTGGTTATGTATTGTAACTGTTTACAATTGAACTCTGAGTACCAATTGATGGGTTTTATCAAGCTATTTAAAAACAGAAATAAAAATCTTTTAAAAAATGATCTTTTGTCTGTGCTCAACAAAAGAGCTAGTCTTTGTGCTTCTCATTCCAGTTTTTCACTCTATAAATTGTACAGATGTACTTAAAGATACCATGTTTCTGACAATATAAAGTCAAACAGTGAGTGGCTTCTTCAGAGATACAATTTGAGATGTGTGTTTACCAAATACCAAACAAATTTAAAACCTGTGTGAGAATAAAAGGGCTAAATGCCTTATGCTTGGCCTTGGAAATCTGGTATCTGAGCTCTAGGCTACCTTAATCATGTTAGCCACCAATATTAATTCATTGGCATTCTTTTTACACTTTTTTTTAAATTTTTTATTCACACACCTTAACAAACCAGTTACATTCAATGTAATTCCAAGGTATTTCCTAACTAACTAGCTCTAATCTTGCAAAAGAATTTCATTTTAGAAGGGGAAAGCAAACCATGCTAAATATGTAGAATGGCCATAGCAACTCTCTTGCATAAGTCAGGATAACATTGCTGGATGTTTCTCTTCAGGGTTAAAATCACCTTAGTATTAACAGATATGTCAGACCTCTTGTTTTTGTTGAATAAAATATTCACATTAAAGGAGTGCAATAAACATATATCCTCTGCTTAATGTTGAGCATTAAAAAACATGAAAAAAAACCCAAACCCCTTACTTTTCACATCTTTTCTGAAAGTTGCTAGCAGCTAACTTTTTGATTCTAGACTCAAAAAGACATAATTAAGTTAAAGTTTTTGTTCAATCTCAGGGTCCCTTGATGCCACAGGTGATAAATTTTGAGGAAGTATGTTGTTATTTGCTGTATTCTGAAAAGAAATGGTATTGACAACCCTGAAGAAAAGGCTGATATCTTGAGTACAAAATTAACGTGTACTATTTTTCTTAATGATGAATGCTGAGAGCATCTTTCCCCTCAAAACATGCATATAAACAGAAAAAAAGAAGGGGGGGGCAGGGGGAAAGGAAATTGAACGTAATCATCTAATAATGTCTGTGAAGTTTCGGCACATGGTTAGACATCCACAGTTAAGAAAGTGCTATCAGTGTGCTCTCTGCACTTCACTGTAGATTACTCATTGCTTCCAAAATTCGCATGGTACATGCTGAAGTAATAGTTTTTAATCTCTCTGGCTGCCTGCAATGTTCCAGCCAATACACTGTGACAGTGATGTGATCTGGCCTTAATTACTCATTTTGTCATCACTTTCAGATGGTTTATCAGTAGTTTTATATGTATTTTTATACACATGGGCATGACACCTGCAGTACATGGGGAACCTCAAGGAACTCAGAATACTAATTACCAGATAAACTCAGGAATGGACATGCTACCACATGCATATCCAAATCTCTTCCTATTAGGATTTGAAGTGGTTTGAAGTCAGATTCAAGTTGGTGGCCTATGACTTTGTGGTAGTCTGTCTTTGTTCATCTCAAACTACAGAATTCTATGAGACCGTCTCATCTGTACAGGAGCCCAGATTTCCTTTGTGCAAATCTGAGATTGCCAGAGAAACCTTTTAGCAGTTTAGACACATCACAACATTTATCTCTTCAGTATGTTTCTTAGCTGTTGCCTTTTCTGGCAGATACGATAGCAGCTTAAAATTAAAAAACCAAAACCTCAAACCAAACACAAATACCAAAGATTCTGCTGAAGATGCTAACTCTTCTTAAGGAGACAATTTTTTAAAAGTAGATAGGGTGCTTTACCTTCCATTAAAAAAGAAAATATTGGATGGAGGTCTTGTTATCAAGAACTGTGGTGTGCTTGTAAAAAGCATGTTCTAAGTCTCTTGAGCATTAGGAAGTGCTATGTCTATTTGTTATCACAAGTATTTTCTAGACATATCAAAATACTCCCTTATTTATCTTTAAACTCATAATTCAAAGAAAAGAAAAAAAAATCCAAACACATTTTGGAATTCTTTCAGGTATTATGCATTGTTAAAAGTATTCCCAGGGCAAAGGACCAAAAACCAACACAGAAGTCAAATGCTCACCTCTTGCTCGTTGAACAAAAAGCCAGCAGCAATGACAAGCAGGATGTTTTTGATGCCTTTTGGGGGGGGGGCTAGTGGCTGGAGCTTTTAATCACTTTAGCTGGAAGTTATTTGCAAATAACCTGTCTGAGCTCCGTAATCCTGCCTGGCTTCGTATAGTAAAAAAATCTTTTCTACGGGAGAGATTCCTAAATTGCTTTTCAGATCTTAGCCTTGTATTTCAGGTATTGCACATTGACTGCTAGCATGTATGACCTGCTCCAGAGTTAGAATAGTTACAATATTTCCAATTTCTGGCCTTTGCTCCCCTCCTTCGATATAAAAGCATTTATATTGATTTATATATATATATATCCAATTTCCAATTTCTGGCCTTTGCTCCCCTCCTTTGATATAAAAGCATTTATATCGATATATATATAAGATTTAAAAAAAAAAACAATTTTTTTTTATACTGTATAGCACCTTTCCAAGGGCTTGCTTGTACACCTTCAGGTGTCTGTCATTTTAGGTCAGATTTGTAGATGTTGAATTTTCTATCAATCAGGCTGAAAATCAGAGACTACCAGAAAAAACTAGATTTACTTGTAAACACAGAATGAAAATTCAAACCTTTTTTAAAGTTGGACAGCCTTCTTTTATCTTCTGTTCCCTCTAGCTGCTTTCTGAGTGAGAACATCTGTACAGACTATAGCTGATTTTGAGTCCCTCACTTTGATATACGGTGTGTGTTCCCAACAATCTGTTGCTTAAAATAAAAGCTGTCTGGTCTGTGTTGTCGCTGTCAAACATCATTTTCAGAGCTCTTCCTCACATTTTCTTTCTGGTTTATAATCATTCATTTGCAGTTGATAACTGTATCTTCTGATTTCTTCCTATTTAGCTAATTTACTTACTTGCCAATGCCAGCAAGCTAGATGTCTGTAGAGATTTTCATCACTGGATGTTTTGTTATGGTCAGTTCATCAAGCTTCTTCACTACTTGCTCAATTTACAGTTAATTCTAATATATTTTCAAAAAGCATCCATAAGGCATTGTAGCTGTTCCTGAATGGATTATTTAGCAGTTTCTCTTTCCTCACATAGGAAGTGTTTTTTTCTGAAGGCCCTATTGAAACAGCATTGTCCAAAGGTTTGATTCCATTTTGTATCTTGCTATTGTTACAATAGTTAATATAAAAGAATGCGTCTATCAGTGAAAATACCCCTAGTAAACCTTTGTTACTCACATGCGCTTGTTAAATCCAGCAGCTGATCTGCCTGGGAGGGAACTGCACTTCTGCCTCCTAGCCGGTATTCTAGCTGTGATAAATAATGACATACCCAAGATGACTCTTGTCAACCTAACATACAAAACTTAGGAGGTACGGCATAAAGTCAGGGGAACAAAGCCAAAGACCAACCATGAAAAAAAAAAGTGCTTTGAACGTATTCTTGGTTTAATTTTAATAGGTCATTTTGCCAGAAACATGGGATGAGAAGATGTGAACTACAACGTGACACAAGAGGCAACATAGGTATGATCTGATTTTCCGTTATAACAGGAACTCTGTCAAATAGTTCAGATCCCATGGAGGGAGTGGGGTTAAATAAGGACTGCAAATGGGCTCAGAGGGAATGAAAAAGTGCAACTGTTTTACATTCATCTTATGGAAAAGGAAAATTACACTTTTACTAAGTTTCCTGCAGAGTTATTTCTGTTGTCGTTCCAGTCCTACATACACTTTATGAAAATGCTGAACTAGAAGCTGAAATAGTCCATTAAAAATGTGGAGAAAGCAAGCAAGGTTTTGGGGTTGTTTTTTTACATTTCAAAAAGTGTAATCAATAAGAAAAGAAATCTGATAGTAGGATTTATCTGTTTAAGTAACTTAAAGTGGTTTTAGTAGGACAAATCACAGCTTCAATCCTGTAATCCAATCACACAAGATCAGTACTGATGTCTAGCCTTGTTGACTTAATCAGAGCTCTGTAAGCATGAGGATCTCCCTATGTGAACCAAACCACAAGGTCTGGACTTCTGTGTTTTATGTGAATATCCTTACGGTTAGGCCAAATTAAAAGTCCAGGCCTACTGACAGTAGAGTCAATGTGAATCTTCCCAGCAATTCAAATGGAGACAATGCCATGTTCCTGAAGTGCTTTGAAATTCATCGCATACTTTCCAAATACTGTACTCCTTGTAGAAAAACAATCTTAAAATGTGAGTATATTATATTGAAACAGACAGTCAGCATTTACCAACTGAGAAGTATAAAATAAAATACACAATGTCCAAAGTTACAGCATACTGGATGGTCTTCTAAAACAGAGAAAACTCCTAGGAATTCCAGTTTATAAAATGGTGTAATTTGCTACTTTATTTGAATGATTAAATTGCTAACAGCTTTTGCTAAGAATTTTTACATAGCTTTAGTTACTATTGTTTTTTAATCTTCGATATTCTCACATGAACTGCACAAAGTCATTGTTAACCAGGTTATTTTATGCAAAGTAAGTGTAACTTTGGTGTTTTGTTCCTGAAGTATTAAATTTTAATTTTTTTGTCTCTCAACTACACATCGTTCACCTGCAATAAGCTGGCTCTTGCATTACTTTGTTTAAATTCAGCTGCTTGATGTTGATGCTGCAGTTAAAGCAATAGAAGTTTAATATTATCTACTACTAATGATCAAGAAAAAATACTGGACTATCTTCTTGAAATGGTGAGTTAATGAAGTCACACCAAATTACATTAATTAGAAAGTCCTTACAAGAAATTAGGCTGTTAGAAGCAATGGGTATGAAAAAATATTTTCAGAGCTCTTTTTCTTTTCAGTTTAAATCACAAAAAATTCTGCTTTCAAATTAATCTGACAAACATTGTTATGTTGTAATTATTTCTTGTTATTTTAAGAAAGAATCCACAGTCAGTTTCTCCCAGTTATTCTAAAGGGTGTTGTGACTGACACACACATCAGCAGAGTAGTAATAGAGTGTCTCCTTGCAATTTCCACTTATAACAGAAGACATCCCAACTAACAGTAAATTCAATAATTCAGGGAAAATTTTACATGACATTGTTTTAATTTGCTGTTATTACCAGTGGCTTTATTAAAGAAGTACTACAGAAGTGTTAAACAATTGCTGATTGTTAGAAGGGGAGGAGAAATTATTTTAATCAGGCAGACTCCAAACTCAGAGGTGGAGTCTGCATCTAAACTTTTGCTAACGGGCTCCGTAAGGAAATCAAAAAAGAGTTCCCATTATTTAACCAATTACTGAATGTGAATAGACATGCCTCTGTTCAAAACTGGACTGAAACCAACGTAGTATATCCACACCAGCTTTGTAGCAGCCTTCAGAGTCTTTTGCTCATCATACTCCCAGCATACCTCTAATCTTGTGATCTAGAGATAAAAGACCATTTCATTAACATAAAATATGAAATTGTAGTTTTCTGACTGCATGTATATAACCATATATAAGTATTTACATATAAACATACACAGGCAAAAGTATCTTTGGTTGTTTAGCTCAAGAATAAATTTCTGCTTAAGTGCTTTCCATTAATGATAAAAAAGTCCAGTAGCAAGGAATGGAAACACATCCCTAAGTGCTACATTAAGCATGGTAAAAGCACACCTTTCTTTTCTGTTGTATTATTCTGGAATTAACATGGATCTTTCAAAATCCCAGTGTGATAAAGATACTGCTTTACTCATTCCTATTGCCTACAGTCAGCATTCTGGAATGTTTAATTGATTAGCAGTTTAGATTTCTGAGAAGACTGCTTTATCTGCATTTATCTGACATTACTTACAGTTTCATAATCTAAAAAAATAGTATTATCTTGTTTCTAAGAGTTTCAAGACAGCCTTTTTTTATTTTAGCTGAAGAATATGAAGAAGACTTTATCTCTTTTTAACTCATATATGTATATCTCAGCTTTACTAAAACAGAATGAAATACAACATTTATAGAAAGGAGGGCTTTGTATAAATTATGCAGAAAGTCCATACCATTTCAGGAAAAAGCAGCAGCTAGAAAAAGAACTGCCAGGCCACTGTTCTTCATAAAGAGTACATCTGGAAAGTCCATAGAAGCAATCAGGACACTGAAGATTCAAATGCCTAAAAATACTTCATGGAATGATTTAATCTATGAAGGAGATAACCATTCCTGTCAACAAGTTAAAAAAGGTTTTCACTGTGAGAGAATGAGACATTATTTAAGAATATAAATAGTACTCAGATAACAGTCTATTTATCTTGCAAATGTGATGAAGATGTTGAAACAATTATCTGTTTGTTTTAATTGTAGTTATCTGCCATCTTGTTTTTCAGGTTTGGAGTCTTCTATACATGCTGAGTTCTGGAAAAGCCTTACAGATGGGAATAAAGAGCAAGGGCATGATTTTGTTAGTCATGAGAATTTAGCTGTGCTCATTATCCATCTTCTACTGAAATGGTTTCTCTTCTAGCAGGAATACCAGAATGCAGGCCTTACCAGGCCAGAGAGGAGAAAACATCCTTGCAGAAAAGAATTAATTTGTTTTCAGCTGGTACAATAACTGAACTAAATATCCCAGATTCTCATGCTTTTGAAGTGTTCTCAGTCAACAGCAGATTTAAAAAACTTTTAGGTGAAAAGTCTTTCAGGTATAAATGTACTGTTACTTCCTAGAGCTTTTGATTTTTCCCCACAAACATATAAGGAAATGGAGAATATATTCTGTTAAAAAAAAAAAAAAAATTCTTTATCCAGTGTGAAAATGTTGAGCAGTACGCATTTACTTGAGTAGCTTTGCAGATTAAAATTGTGCAGTAGATATTTTAAATGTGAATCATTTTTCTATAAAACATGCCTTAATAGTTCTGCTATTTTGAAAACAAAAGATTTGCTTTCAAAATATATCTTCACCATCTTTGTTTAATTTTGGCTATTTGGAAATTTTCTGCATCCTGCTGAATGGCACACCTGATGCAGACATCCTTAGAGGAGACCTTGCATCTGTACAACTGAGATTTCTGGTATTTGAAAATATATTGAAGCTTTTAAAGATACACATAAAAAAAGGAAACAAAAAAGCTTTAATTGAATTACTTTATAGGACATTACTTTTTCAAATGTGTCTATTGTATTTTGTACACTAAGTCAATTTTTTTTTACATTACATTGCTTGTTTTATCTGAAGCATGGCAATTTGCCAACCTTAGCTTTTAGTGATAAATTCTCCTATACAAAGCAGAAGTTTTTATATCTGAGACCATTTCCTTCTGCTATTTTATCATCTTCCTGGTTTTGTCTGCTTTCAATAAATACCTTTGTATTTTCACATCTTTTATATGCATGTATACACAGATCCTTTCCTCTGTATTATAACTGATAGTTGCAAGTTGGTAAGGATAAAAAAGACAGACTGTTGACTTCAATTTCATTGCATTAATATACTACATGGATGCTTTTATATTACAGTATTAAAAAGTCTTAACATATTAATATTAAGAGTATTTCCTGAATTTGGGAGTGGGGTGGGGAGGCAGGGGTTGATGTTTCATAACAAGGTTTTAAAATGGAAATAATTTCTGTGTACAGCTATATTCGAGTACTACATATTGACACACGGAGGCTGGGTTCTCACAGTGAAAATGCGTTATTTTAAAGCATCTCAAATTTAAGCATATTGAAATTTAAAATCTGAAAAGAAATTATGGTGGAGGCCAAACATGTCTCCTTTATCTGTCCCAAGAGGTCGAATATTTCTGCCTGAGGAGAAAAATCTAGAAAACTCAGCAGTAAGGAGAAGCCACAGAGATCCCTGCACACTCAGTGGAACCCCAAGAAACCTGAGGGAAAGGAGCACGGAATTAGGGGTGGTCAGGGGAGAAGAATGAGATTGGAGTAAAGAAGCTAAAGTTACAATGCAGCAAACTGGAGAAAAGCTTTTGGAACTTACAAGAAAGAGAAGCTGTCCCTGATGTCACTGCCCATTTTAGCAGTCTGTCATGAATTCCTCTTTCCCACAAAAAACTGTTACTAAGGATGTAGGCTGAAAATCATCATGTACTAATCTTTTTATGAAGCCGTTTTTGTTGTTGTTCTGTAGACCTATTGTTCTTTTACAATTATATTAATAGACTAAAAATAACAAGGGCAGTTCTATCAGACTTAAATTACAAGTTTGTTTCTTAAGAATTATTATTTTATACTGTGCTGATGGAGATCACAGAAATCCTTTTCTGACCACAAAGGTATAAGGTACCAAATTCATCCTTCATGTAACTGCACTGAGGTAAATGGAGTTACATAAGGAATTAATTTGACCTGTCTCCTCCATTTCCTTGGAAAAATTCTTTGTTTTAGCACTTGCCAAGTTTTAACTTTGACTCTCCCTTGCTTAGAGACAGTTTTTCTTTCTTTAAGACTATAAAGAGAAATACAGCAGGAAAAAGATAATTAAAGTGAAGATCTGCTTTTTAAATTGAAAGAACACTTCAATTATGGTAAGAGAATACCAAACCCTTTTTGTTTTGGTATAGAAGCATATGGGATTATTCTAACACACATAAGGATATGAAAGGAATAAAATAGTATGTACAGCCATGAGAGGGAAAGGATTTAAGTGATGTTTTTCTGCCTTAGACCCCATGTTTTTCTTTCTAACTGCAGCAGTTGGAATAAATAGGGACCTTTCTTGGTTAGAGACAGTAAGAATTTAAAATATTACACATCACCTTTTAACAAAGAATCATCTCCCCTTTTCACCTGGACTCAGCAGGAGCTAAGTATTCAAAAATAACCTACAAGACAAGCTGAAGGCATACTCTCACCAGTATACAACTGGAATTTCATGATACAATAAACTTAATTTTTGGATGGCAACATGGCACAAAATTCTTTGTACAAATTCAACTCACCAGTACGAAGTTATTTAAAAAACAAAATCCTCACAAAACAAGGAGTGGAGAGTGGGTTTACTCCTGATGATTTTATGTTAGGGTTCCTATCATCTGTCTTCCTGCTGCTGGTATAAAACCAGGATAAAGCTTGGTCTAAACACTGTAACTCATAGCTGGCTAATCTTGACGGAAATGCAATTACATGCTCATATTTGATCTTGATCGATTTATTACCATTAGATGATCTAGTATTGCACAGATCAGACATTAACAAGTATGTACGTCTGACTACAGGCACAGTTTGAGAAGGGCTGAGCATGAGGGATCAGAAAGTGAAATTGATGGAGAGTCTGTGGTTCACAGTAAGGTTAGAATTATGCAGGGATATTGTCCCCACTGACAAAATAACTACCCAGCAGCCTGCCTTCCTTCTTTCCACACCATCTGTGTATGACAGTCTACCAATGCTGCAATTGTGCCAATGCAACTGTTTGTGGGACCAGAGTGTGAACTTAATCAATGGAATAATTCTGGTTAAAAATGATTAGTTTAGACAGAACTTTTAAAATCTGGATTAAGTGATCTGATTTACAGCGTGGCTTCACAAACGGTTGCATGAACAGCTGAGAGGGCACTAAAAGTCACAATCATTGGTTGCCAGTTCCTGCTTCTGTCTAAATTTATGGTTCCATGTTTATTAAACCCAGATTTGTGCACTGCTGACTAGCCCTGCAGCAAGATTTGAGCCAGCTCATGTAGAGATATGCAATTGCATTTCAGATGCTCACTGGTGAATCAACAAGAGCACCTGGTCTAACCCTCCTAACACTGTATGTCATGAGGGAGTCCAGCTTGTCACTTGGCTGCCATATGTACCGTAGGATGCCAGCCCTGTTACACTGTGGAGTTGTTTAAGAAGGCTTCTCTGGGCAGGGAGGAGGAAGGAACTGTGGGGGCTTCCCCTGTTATCAGCACTACTACAATAATTCCCTCAACTGCTGCCTTACGCATGCAGCTAGAGCAGGACTCATGTATGGTCTGCAGCCCAGCTACAGCTCCCAGTGTAGGATGAAATAGGAATTTCAAATTCCCAGGCCTCGGTGAGACTGGAGAGTGGTATGCAATATGATACACTGAACCATCGCAAACTGGAGTTAGCCAGCAGAGGTGAATTCACAGACTGGCTACTTCTCAGGGTGGGAACAGAGTTGGGCCTTAATCAGTGCACTCTCCTTTGAGAATTACTTTACATCAAGCTCTTTCATTTTCCTGAGATAGAAAAACCCTCTCAAGCTTAATGCAAAATTCCACTCATGATCTGTTTCAGCCCATATCCTTTGAATCCAAGTCCTCTTTTTCTGTTATTTTAGGCACAGCTTTCATGCTAGAAAGCATTCTCTTTGGGTCTAGTACTATGCATAATTAATACAGGTAGAACAAGTTCTAATGCAAAGTATATTTTGGATCATAAGTATTACAGAGTTGATGGACCTCCACAGTTTTTAATGCATTTGGTTTTCCTCACTGGGACATTCTGGTGTTCTTCACCCAGTGACTCACCAGTGGCCCTATCGGTGTTACAGAATGGAAACAAGCACTGACTTCCAAAACCAGTAATATTTGATGCTAGTAGATTAAGCTCATTTAGAAGTCTTAAAAAACCAACCAACCTCAAAATATGTCAAAAATTGGAAATTGAAATAAGCTGCAAATAAAATTCTGGATGTGATTTAAAAGTCCATCTGGAGAAAAACCCATGCAGAATTCTTAGAAGAGAGGCATCTTTAACTTTCCAGGTTTTGACTATTTTAAGGGAACGAGCTTCCTATCCATACAAAAAAGCACCATTCATGAAAGATGCTTGCCTTGCTAAGCTTCAGCTTTGATGTTCTCCAAAGCAATATAAAATACTTGCACGTACAATTTTTTTGGACTAAATGAAAGGTGCAAGCACTTTTGAAACCATTAAGACAACCAGCAAACAGGATTTTCTATAAATGTGTTCTTCCAGCTGAGACAAATATGATATGTGTGACAGCATAAACATTTTAAGAAACAATACATGGCTAAAACCCGTCTGCCAGACAGAGGAAGTCAAAGAGTTTGCCTTAGGGGTTTAAGAATACCAGATTATTCAAGTACTGATAAATAAAAAGAAAAAAAAAAAAAAAAAAAAAAAAAAAAAAGACATGATGATGGACTAAGACCTTCCTGCCTGGAAACTATTAGGCAATGCTTCTTAAAAAATACAAATTGATTGCCTAGATTTGAAATAAAAGTATTCTTTAATACAATGGCTGAGTATCGATGACAGTGATTCTGACTATCAACAAGGTATTGTCTTAGGAACAGTAATGCTCGCACCATTTTTCTAAAAATGTGAGCATCTAAGTGAGCAAGTAGTAAAATCAACCAAATAAATCTAGTTTACAAAATGTTGCGAAACATCTGTATTCTTTAAGATGTATCTATATTCTTTGAGATATATCCATAGTCTTTAAGATATGTCTATATTCTTTAAGAATGTATTCTTAAGACTGTACAGATCTTTGTGTCTTTAAGATTAACTGTTCTCCTTAAGGGTAAGTATAAAATCCTTCTTACCAAATCTAACAGAACTCACAGTAAGCCAGACTTGCAAATTGGTGATGTCTTGACTGAATGGATGAAATGGGAATACCTGCATGCAGGATGACTACCTCCTTAAATAAGATTTCAAAGATTCTTTCTTACTTTCAACGGTAAGGTGCATTATTCCATCTCCCTGTGTCTGATACTGACATCTTGTCTAATGGCAGTTACTTTATTTCTTTCGGCATTGAGAAAATTCAGAATTGTATTTCTTGTCTTTGAATACAATGTTACTATCTACTTCCCAATTCTTATCCATGTAATGAACATCATCCTAACTCATGCTTTTGATCAGAAATAAGAAGTTTTCAAAATCTATCATCACAAAATGGAATTTTACATCACTGAAACATTTGCATTACTGAAAGAGGAAACTTATCAAAGTAAGATTAAGCTTATTTCTTTCTACAGGTAAACTGAAGATGAATAATTAAGGTGTTTTTTCAGAATTTCCATTAACCAATAAAGAGCAATCCAGAAAAAAGGGAATCCACTCTTGCTGAGAAAAAGATCTGATAACCGACAGGACTTTCCTACTCTTGAATTATTTGATTATTTAAAAAAAAAAAGAAAAGAAAAGAAAAAAAGGGAGGGGTAAAGATTAATTTTCATTTTCATTCACTACTGCTTGGAATCTGGTTCAAATTGAAACCCATAGAAATGGCTTAATATTTAATGAGCAGTTTAGACCACAAAAATGTGATGGAAGGGATTCAGTTGTCTTCACTGACTCTCTGTGTAGGGACAAATGTCATAACAGATGCGCTCCTGACCCCTTAAAATGAAAAATGACATGATAAATTGCTACTTAGTGGAAACTGAATCAAAACAGATACCAAACTATCCAAAGAGAAGAAAAAAAGACAAAGCATGTTACCTGAAAATTCAACAAATAACCACATTTATCACTAAGGAATCAAACCTGTCAACGGCAGGTTTTGGAGTAAGCCAAATTTTCCCCTAAAAATAATTTAAACAGACCAGCTATTAGACTATTATTTACACAAATGATAGACTATGAAGTTCTTCCAACACAGAAGGTTACACTTGTGGATATAAAACTGGCAAAACATACTTGTGGTAAAAATAGAGTTATGACTACAGAAGGGACTGCAAGAAAAAAAAAAGATCAAGCAATCTTTAGAAAACTGTTGATTGAAACCCTATTAATATGGAGAGAAAAATAAAATTCATACATATACCAAAACAGAGGAACGATCAAACTTCCAGCAAACCAAGTAGATGCAAAAGAATTACTCACATGAGCAGGAAATAGTTTATTGGAGTGTATCCTAAAACTTGCTGAGACTGTAACCTGTCTTGCTACCTGGCATCTTTGTTGGTAAGGAACTACCCAGTATTTAATGACAGTAGCATTGTTACTGTTAAACTACCAAAAACTATAGTGTAGTTCTGCTATGGTAGAACTACTATAGCTATGATGTAGAACTATGACTGTAATTCTTCAGTTGATTTTGTACATTTTGAAAAAATCTATTCCTGACCTAGTTAGGTTTATAGCCAGACACGAGACTTATTTTTATACACAGGAAAATGAGACAGCAAGGTAAAAGGTTTGATCTTAAAAGTTTCTCTCACACATCTCACCTTAAGATTAAACACCAAGTAAGCACCTTGTACACATAAATAACAGTTTTATGCCTAGAACGCTTGTAGGATCAGGCCCATGCAGAAGTAAGTCCATTTATAATATATACAGTATGTGTGAAAATTTCAAGTTTTAAGGAATATCTGCTATCATTTCAGAGACATACAGCCTTGAAGAAGACACTATAATTTCAATACTCTTTCGTACTATGTATCATTAATAAGTAATCCTACTAAAACAGGACTGGAAAGAACAGATTTTCCTTGAGAGGGTATTGAATGACATACATTTCAAAGTTACAGAGTAAGCTACGTATTCAATAATACAAAATACTGAAAATTTAACTGTTTACTCAAGTTAATAATGAAGTTACAATAAAGAACGTTTTGCTTATCTCACAAATTTGGAATTGTCTGATTTCACCACGAAGTTTATATAAAATATCCCAACTGATCACTTATAACTAGGACAGACGTTTTTCATATCTTGCTTGCATCACAAAATCATTTTTATCTTTGGTATTAATTTGGAGAGTTTTAAAACCTTGTATTGCTTCCATGAAGTCAACAGGAATTTTGCATTGTACTGGTGGTAGGACTGTTCTCCACAGCTCACCCTTCTCTGCTATTAGAATTAGTGATTGGGCTATGTTTTATTTTGCACTAGAATTTTCCTTATAGCAAAAGTATATTAAGCTAGGAAGGAGGGAAGGAGGGAAAAAAGATGATACTGACAAATGAAAACAACAAAAGAAAGGAATATATTTTATATAAAGGTGTAAAACAACACAGATGAAATGAAAGTAAACAATCTGTGATCAATTATAAAATCGGAGTTTTTCTCATGAACCAGATTCCCCTCTAATGTAAATTAACAGTTTGCTCAGTGTGCAAAAATATTCAAAGCCCACTGTCAGTTCAACTGCATTCAGACTTATTTTAAAACCACCCTGTAATTGCACTTTATAGACACACATTTCAAAATAAATCTCTTACCAAGGTAATGGTTCTGTTTTATGTAATCATATCCCTTTTATACACTAACTTACTAAACTTATAACAATGTTGAATTTAAAATATGAAAAGAGGAGTGCTTTAAAGGTTTGTGATGTTTATGAGTTGTAGATGAGGTAAAACGCTTTGTCACCACAGCAGCTGTCAGAGCCAAACCTCAGCTCTCAGCAAAATGGGCTGTAATAACCACCTATTAGCCGTGGTGTCAAGAGGTGAGTGCTCCCGCCACAGCTTCCTAGACGGTGCTCTGTCCCATGCCAGCCTACATGAGGAAAATGAAAACCCCGATATCTTCCTGTTGGCTGACCCTTTCCTCCCACAGCTTCCTTTCTGAGTAAAATTTTGACACCAAAGGTTTTAAAAAAATAAAGGGGTGGTGCCAAGGAAGGAAGGAAGAGTGGTCTGTGCCAGCACACTTCTGCTTACCTTTACGGACTTTGGAGGCTGCTGATAGCCCAACTCCCGTGGTATCTCACTGAAGATCTTTACTGAGAACTTAAGAAATCCCACAGATACTTTGACTCCTAGGGCAGTAAGCAGGCAAATCCTTTCTGTTACCAACACAGACAATACACACCAGCACAAAACCCTGCGCTGCATACGGGCAACAGTCCCATTTGTACACCAGGCTCCTCACGACCCCTGCGGCAGGGGAAGCACCCAGCACCCTTCCAGCGCCGGACCGGACCCAAGAACAAGGAGCAAGTAAGACTCAGCAGAAAACATGCAGAAGCGTCATACGCCTCGGGCTCCTTTTCGGAGACTTCGACCCACCCCGTCCCCCTTCACGACGCCGTTCCAGACCAGCCTTCCTGTCACCTCCCGCCCCTTCCCCTGCCCCTGGATCCCTCGAAAAGAGCCACCGGCTCTGCGGACATTTTCTGGCCGCCACAGACTCTGAAAGACAACCCCCACCCACACGAAACCCGACTGACTCGACGGCTCCCCTCAGCCCCTCCTACCGTCGCCCCCCGGCTGCTCCCCGGCGGGCGCCCCGCAGGCCAGGCTCCTCCCGCCCCGCGACCGCCGCCCTCGCCCCCTTCCCCGCCGCGACAACCCACGGGGAACTCGTTTTAAGGGCCTCAACGCTGCCAGGCCGCGCCGCGCGAAACCTGCCGGGGAGGGAACACCGAAAAAAGGCGGAGAGGCGGGAAGGAGACAGGCTCCCCTCACCGGGCCCGCTCCGCCGCCGCGGGGCACGGCCGAGGAGCTGCCGCCCCCTGAGGGGAGGTGGCGGTGCAGGGCCGGCCGGGCCTGCCTTCCCCCCTCCGCCCCTCCGCGGGTCACATGAGAGGGGCGGGCGGCTGGGCCGAGGCGGCGGCTGCCGCCGGGGCTGAGGCAGGGCTGGGCGGAGAGGGACGGGGCAGAGGAGCGCGGCGGCGGTAGAGGAGGAGGAGGAGAAGGAGAAGCGGCCGCGAGGCGCCGAGCGAGTGGAGCGAACCCCGGGCCTCCCTCAGCCGCGGCCGTTGCGGAGTGCCCTGCCTGCGGCCCCAACATGGACGAAGAGGGCGGCGGAGGTGGCGGCGGTGAGTGGCGGCGCTTGTGC